AAGCATCAAATTTTTCTTAAATAAAAATAATGTCAAAAAATTTGAGAAAAAAGTTGGAAGTATCAATTTTTCTTTAAACAAAAAATAATTTAAAAATTTTTAAGGAAAAAGTTGATGTATCAATTTTTCTTGAATTTAAATTTTTTCTAAGAATTTCATAAAAAATAAGACAAATGTGAAATGATTCGACAATAAAGTTGCTTCAAGAAAAATAGTTATTTTCTTGTATACTATTAAAGTGAGGGAATTTTTTTTTTAATTTTCTGTTAAAATATTAGAGTTAGTTAAGAATAGTTCCCAATACATTTAAATTTTAAAAAGCTTAAGGGATAACACGAAAATAATTGGTACTATTCTTTAATGGGTGTTATAAAGGTGTTATAATTTTCTTTATATATAACCGTATTTTCGAACCTAGCTTGGTTTTGTATACCAGAATCTACCTATTAAAGATACCCGAGTCAAGCTTGGGACACTCTTTTAATAGGATAGATTCGATTAGATGACGAAACACACTTAGATAAAAAAGATTGATAGTGACTCTTTAAATTGTGTCTAACGATAAGTTTATAGATTTATATGTTATGATAGTTTGGTGATTTTATTAAAGATAAGCCGTGAGTTAGGCCAGCAAATTAATTTGAGTTATCCAAAAATCTAATAAAGTTAATTATTTTTTAGAATATTTTTTGCTTTATTATTATCATTATTTTTTTAAAATGCATTTATTATATCATTCATATGCATGTACATAACATAAGTTCTATACCCGAGTTTCATCCCCTTAGAAGGGAGTATAGTACCTATATTTTTGTATAATTTTAATGCTCCATAGTGGTTAGCGAAATTCTCCTACTCAAATTGAATTCTTTCCTCTTATAGTCTATGATGGGTGAGGATTATGGTGCCTTACTAGTCTGTGATGAACAATGATGTAAGGAATAATTTTGAAACCTTTAGAGTTAACCCAAACTACATATAGTCAGCTTTATAAGCCTAACCTATAGGTAAAGCCATGTTTATTTTATCCTTTAGAATTGACCTAAAGTTTAGGATCATATTATTGTATTATATTTGTGCTAATAGACTTATTTTTATATTGAGCTAATTAAGCAATTTCATTGCTTGTATATTCATAAACATGCATATATACTACATAAAATGCTTGTATATTCATAAACATGCATATGTACTACATAAAGCTTTCATAAAACCCACTAAATGTCTAGTTTGATTCTATGGAAAACAAAGAAAGCTTTTTTTTTGTTGAAATTTTTAAAAAGGACAAACATTATCTTTCATACATTGCATTTGCATGAATAGTGCACTAATTTTAAAATAGTGGTACACAAATTTAAATAGACCTAACAATTCATGTATTCTTATAGTACAAAATACTAAAATTCATGTATTTGTATCGTATTTTATATAAAAATTATCTATCACAGTTCGTGTCGACACAAAAACATGAAGTACATTTTTTTTAGTTTTGTTAAACCTATTTATAGTTTTTGCTAAAACTTTAAAATTTGTTTTCTTTGTGTTTTTTATTCGTATCAATTTCATGTCTATCACCGTATCGTGTTCGAAATTACCAGATCTAGGTTCAATGATAGCTCAACTATTTAAAAACTCTACTTAATTAACTTACCACAAGTATAATACCCGAGTTCAAGCAAGAAAGATGGAACAAGAGAACACAAATCATTTTAAGAAAATAGAAAAGGCTAAGAAGAGCTCAGAAGAAGTTGAGTAAAATCTTATAAGCCCTAAACAAGTTAAATAAAAGGAAGCTATGGAAGAAGATGCTAGCCCCCATGACCATCCATCACAAAATATCATTGACCCTTTATACCCTTCTAGGTTTGGTCCATTTCAAGCCCAATCCACTCAAGAAATTCCTCTATAGCAATTCTTATTCCCAGTAGGATATACCTACCCTGGAATGCTTTCCACATCAACTTAGGGGCATTTTTAGAGTTATATCAATCCTATTTAAAAAAAAAAAAGCAATAGAACTAGTCAAGTCAGATCCGGGGATCTATCGCTAGATATTGACTTTAGAGAGTCGCCACCAATCTTTTTTATCTAGGTGCGATTGGCCACCTAAGGAATCTGTCCTTTCAGGGAACACCTAAGTTTAAGGGTCCCTAAAAGAATAGGTTCAAGTCTACTAACCAGGACATAGTTCGAGAGTTCGGTTACGTGTGAGGAAGGTTATAGCACCCTCACAACGCCCATCAAAAGATGGTACCAGCTGAAATTCATGTTATCCAAAAGCCTTAAAATTTTTACCAAGTAATTAATTATTGAAAATTTTTCTCAATTGACTATAATACTTTTAGCAGAAAATTGAGAAAATTCCCTCACCTCAAGAGTATGCAAGAAAAACTACTGTTTCACTTGCAGAGGCTCCGTCGTCGGATTAGTTAAAGAAAAATCAAAATAAAAATCAAAATAGAAATCAGAATAGAAAGGAAGGAAAGAATGATCGTTTTTGTGTAGGGAAAATTGATACTTTCAACTTTTCCCCAAAAATATTTTTTGGAAATTTATTCTTAAGGAAAATTGATACTTTCAACTTTTCCCTAAAAATATTTTTTTGGAAATTTATTCTTAAGGAAAATTGATACTTTCAACTTTTCCTCAAAAATCTTTTTTTTTTGAAAATTTATTTTTAAGGAAAATTGATACTTTCAACTTTTCCCCAAAAATATTTTTTGGAAATTTATTTCTAAGGAAAATTGATACTTTCAACTTTTCCTCAAAAATATATTTTTTTGAAACTTTGATCTTAAGGAAAATTGATACTTTCAACTTTTTCCCAAAAATATTTTTTTGGAAAATTTATTTCTAAGGAAAATTGATACTTTCAACTTTTTCCTAAAATATTTTTTTGGAAAATTTAATTTTTATTTAAAGAAAATAGAATAATAAAATAAAAAAATGAAAGTGAAAATAAATAAAAATAAAAAACAAAATAAAAATAAAATAAAGATAAAAAGAATATTAAATAAACCTAATCTAATAAATAAATAAATAAACAAAAAAAAAAACCTGGAGCGGCTCGGCTATCGGCTCGGCTGGGCTCAAGGAAGAAAAACGGCTCGGGAGAGCGGCTTGGAAGCTTGGCTCGGCTCGGCTTGGAGGAGGGGTAGCACGAGCGGGTCAGGAAAGCGGGTCGACGCTCGGGTCGGGTCGGGTTCGGTAAAACATGCGGATCCTCTGGTTACTTAAGGCCAAAACGACGTCGTTTTGGGAGGGTATAAAAGGCAATCCCCTTCGTTTTTCGGCAGAACGCTCCTCCCCTCTCTCTCTCTTCTTCCCTTTTCCTCTCCCTTCTCTCTAAAAGCTGAAGAACACCAGTGCCAGATTATGAAAAATGTCACCGAAATCTAAAAATTTCGTCGGAAGTTGGTCGGAATATCACCGGTTTCTGGGATTCTTTACCGGAAACTGGGCAAGTCGCCGGAAACTTCAATGTTCGCCGGAATTGTTGCCGAAAAATTCAAATTTCGTCGGAATTTTCATCGAAATCTGGAAATTTCTGGGAAATTTCCAGAAAAATTTTTTGCCAAAAATTTCTAAAAATTTTTTCTCACTCCCAGAACACTCCTAAACTTTTCCTAGCTTCCTATATGCCTCCTTTTCTCTCAAATCAGTAGCTTTGCTTACTGTTTTCTGTCTGTTTGCATATGTTCCAAGGGTCCTTTATATAGGGATTGATCAGGAACAGGGGTCCTTTATATAGGGATTGATCAGGAGTTCCTGATCAATCCCAATTCCTCCTTGGACGGGAATTCAATCTTTGAATCCAACTGGACTCTTTTGATTGAATTCCCATTCCCAGTGGGATTCTTCAACTTCAATCTCAACCCTCCAAAAATAAAATCAAATAAAAAAAATAGATAATTAGAAAAGAATCAGATACGGATCAAGAAAAGAGAAAGAAAAAAAATAATTAACAGATAATTAGGAATACAATAAGATAAACCAAAAAAAAAATATTACAAGAAAAAGAGAAAAAAAATGGTACTAAGTTCCGAAAGTCTGAATGATCAAAGATAAAGCTCAATTTAAAGAATAGAAGCCTTAATTAAATTTAACAAAAGATAATTTGCAATGGATTACAATTGTAAAGAATAGATTTTTAAGTTTCATTAAGCAGACTTTGTTGGTTTGATGTTGTTTATCCACAAAATTAAATCTAAGAGTTTGAAAAATATAAGGTACTAATATCCAGTGACTCATGTATATATACTATTGAAAAATAGTCGTTTATACTAGTGACAATAAGTTATTGCTGTCACGTATTCCATGACAACCTTATTGGTTTGCTGTAAAGTGGTATGTGGCAGCTGAAACAAACTTGTATTACTTCATTAAAAAGAAATTGACAAAAGCGTTCCATTACCCAATACTGGCACATCATAGGCTTGGCTCCAAACAACACCAAAACCTAATAATCAAACTAGCAATTTGAGGGAATCACAAAACGACAAAAAAAAAGGCTTCTTTTGATCCTAATCCGGTAACATACATAGACTTGCTATCATATTTATTGAAAAATCATTTGCTAACCCCTATTCATGTTGAGCCAATGAAACCTCCTTATCCGAAATTATATGATGCTAATACTCAATATGACTACCATTATAGAATCATAGGTCACTCAACAGAGAATTGTGTTGCTCTAAAGCAGAAGGTACAAGGTTTCATCAATGCTGGTTTGATAAAATTTGATGATAATGAAGGGCCGAATGTCACTGAAAATATTTCGCTCAATAATACAGGGGCATGATTTTGAGAAGATGTTTTAGGGGTTTTTTTAAGAAGTAATGAACTTTAGGGAGGCATTTTATGTGTTTATCTTGTATTTATCTAGCATTTCAAGAAAATTACGTTTAATTGGCATTTTTTCCTAATATTATTCCTCCATGGACTTGTGAACATCACTTGGTATAAGTGTGTGCGCCTTCATTTCTAATTGGCGAAAAAAAAGCTACTGCTTGGCTGAATCAGGGAAACTCAACTTGCATGGCTAGATTCTTAATGGAAATTGGAATCATATATAGCAAAAACATAGGGTTGCCCAAGTTGGATTTTGAATTCCAAACATGCTGAATATCACTGCTTAATGATGACCACATGTCGTATTCTCATGACCTCTAATAATAACTTGGTTACAGTTTATTTAGTACAGTATTGTAGCACTAAAGCATTTTAAATTTGACTAGTAGTCAAGCTGAGTATAGAGTGCAGCAGGCAAGCGTGGTTTAGCCAGTGCATGTAATGGTTTTGCCAAGAAAAGATCATCTTCCGATTCAGAGAGGTCAATTTTCGATTCATTAGGTGGTACGTTCCATTTAAAACCTTGAATCAGCCTGGCAAACAGCATTGCAGTCATTTGAGTCCCAAGAGCCACGCCTATGCACCCACGCCTTCCAGTACTAAACGAAATGAACCTCAGTTCCGGCTCTGTCAGATCAACTTTATCACTCAAACCATCCTTCAGATGCCGCTCAGGTTTGAATTCCAATGGCTCGTCCCAAACTTTCGGGTTCCGGCCTAGGCCTGCTCGGCTGAGCAGGACATGACTACCTTTAGGGATGAAGTAGCCGGCAACTGTGGCATCGGCTATTGACACGTGAGGAACGTTAAAGGGTGCAATGGGGTGAAGCCGAAAAGCTTCCCTTGCACAAGCCTTTATATAATTGAGTTTTGGAATGTCAGCTTCTTGAACCCATCTCTCATTTCCAACAACACTGTCTATTTCCTGGCAGGCTTTTTGGAGAATTTCAGGTTTGTTGAGCATCTCTGCCATAGCCCATTCTGCTGCATTAGCAGGATTATCCACTATTGCAAACATCAATTCCTGCATGTATATCAAACAAGGATCACCATACTTAATTTAGTTAAGTATAAAAATTTTATCCATCACCACCAAATACCATCGATTGTACGTGATTATTAAATTTGTACATAAAATTAATTAAAAATTAGCTCCATAATCCTTCCATTTTAGTACGCAAGTTGATTAATTTATTTAATTTTAGGATAAATTATGCCATAAGTTTTTATATTTTATGAAAATTTAGAATTTAATCCTTATATGGTAATTTATACAAATTTAATTTTTATATTATTTTGAGTTGATAATATTAATTCAATCATTAATTTTGTCAATTATTTATCGTGAAAAATATTGATGCAGCTATTGACTCTATTAATGTGTTGTTAACACGCTGACATTAATTCTTTTAACAGCAAAAAATTAACAAACTTAGTGATTAGATTAAAATTATCGAATCATATAAGAACTTAATTTATATAAATTATAATGTAGATATTAAATTTTCGCAAAGTATAGTAACCACATGCAAGCTTAAAGGTAGAATTGTGTTTAAACGTGTAATTAAGAATCTCACCGTGCATTGGGCTTTGATCTCTTCAACTGAAAATGCTGGCTTCCCATTTGAATCCTTTGCTGAAATGAAGGCATCAAGAAGGTCTTCGGGCTCCTTTTTCTTCCCTTCTCTCCACTGTTGTACTCTCTCATCAATAATCGGATCATGGTAACTGTTGACAATTCTCAGAGCCTTAGTCACAATCTTCTCATGACCATCCAAATCTAATGCTCTCAGCCAAGGTACATAGTCTGATAGGATGAAAGAGTAAATGTGCATGAGAACAGTAAAGAGAGATTCGACGTGCTCTTCTTCTTCATGTCCAGGCCCTCCATCTTCTTTGCCCTTTCCGAAGTATCTTTTGTTGAACATCATCCTCCTGATGACATTTCCTGTATATTGCCTGGTGGCAAGTCTCAGGTTTATAACGGATGCATTGGAAATATCAGCTTCATTGTTGATGCATTGGTTGTAAATGAACCTAACAAGATTATTAGCTTCTTGGTTTCTCTTATGGAGTAACCAGCTAAGTCTTTGTGGACTAATGATGTTTGAAACAACCAATTTTCTCATTTTCTTCCATTGATCTCCCCATGGCACAAACACTATTGACAAGAAACCACGAGAAGCATAATCAGTAGCCATCGTAATAGGCCTCGATGCAAAAACTGCATCTTGTTTTTTCAAGAATTCTTGAGCAATTTCAGGTGAAGTGACAGGAATGACATGAATGTTTCCCAGGCGGATACAAGCAATATCGGTGTCAAGTTGTTTCATGAGGCCAAGAATCCACCTGAAGGCAGGCTTGTTTTTCCATAATTCAGGGAGGTTTCCAATGACTGGCCAGGGAGTTGGCCCTGGTGGGAGAGGTGCTTGGTTTGGGGTCTCATTTCTAGTGTTGCCTTTCAATTTGAAAAGGACAAGGAATGCAAACAGAAAGACTAAGGCATGTGTTGAATGAAATAAAAAAAGGCTAGAGACGGTAAAATCATGAGAACTACTCCAATAAGGCAGCAGAGGAAATGGGGAGGAAATATTAGTGGAGGAGTTATCCATTTCCTAACAAATAAACAGAACTTTTCTTCTGTCCGTCTGTCTATCTGTATACTTGTCTACACAAAATGGATGATAGGTAGATCTATATATAGAGATTAGAGAGAGAGGTTTAAACACTGTTTTGACATTCATTGTACTTTTTAAAAATTTAAGAGCTTGTTAAAATCGCTAGATAGTAAGTGTCGTTCTGTTTGTTATTTTGGTATTTGTTTTTCTCGTACTGATTGATTGTGGACGAAATTATTTTATTGGTAATTATTGAAGGATTTTCGACGGTTTACAGACAAAAATTAAAAAATCATTTAGAAATTTTTTACCGATTACCTATTGACAAAATACCAACAAAATTTACTGGTAGAAAAAAATCATTGGTACTTTGTAGGTGAAGTTGCCACGAGAAAAATGAGGATTTGACGCATTTTTTATTGATGGAATAAATCTGTCAATAATTCATCGCTAAAAGCTTTATTGATGGATTTATTTAGTCCGTAAAAAATTTTTAGCTTAAAATATATATATTTTTGGAATTAAATTGGAGGATAATTTTTAATTACCGACAAAATATGTTAGTAATCAGCCATTAAAAGTCAAAAATACTAATGAATTTCGTCGGTATCCATCGTAAAAAGTTTCAAAATTTTTGAATTACCGACAGAATATCCATTGATGTATATATTAATGTATATTTAAAAAACTTACTTAAATATATAAGATAAAAATTAAAATTAAAAAAATAAATTTTTAATTTTATTTTTTAAAAAAGTTATGGATATAAAAATTATTATTCATACTCATTAAATATTTGTAAAGATAAAGATGAAGAAAATTTTAAAATATCTATCGGATATAGATATGAAAATGTGTATAATATAAAAATGCAAGGATGTGAATAGAGAATATTTTACCCTTCTCATATCCTCTCCAATGACGTCCTAAGGTAACTATTTGATTATTATTTTGATATAATAATCAAATAAAATTTTGAACTTTATTAAAAATATATAAAAAAATTTAAATTTTTAATATTTTATTATATAAAATTACGATTATAATTTTTTATTTTATTATAATTAGAATCTTAACAGTATAAAATATTCAATTTTTATTAAATTTTTTAATTGAATGATTTAATTTATAAAAAAATATTTACTTAAACTTTTTTCTTTTGAAAGGTTACAAAGATTTATTTGGATAAACATGAAAACAAATAATGAAGCCAACCTCATTTTAAAAATTATAACACTCGGACATTTTTCATTATTCTTCAAATTTTAATGTGTATAAATATAATGAAATAAAAGTTTATAAATTTAATTTCATGCAATAAGAAATTAAAAACTTTTCAATTTTGAATAAAATTCAATGATTTATTTTGATATTTGCTAATTTATTTTTTATATTTATATTTACTAGGAATTGAATGAACTACGATTTTTTTTTAAATTAACCAAGAGTTAAATGCTTGCTTAATCAACACAACATATGGTTATTAGTACTCATTTTCTTTTTATTTTTTATTTTCTTATATCTTCATTTATTATTTAATTAAGCTTTCTTCAAGATAAATATATGAGATAAGGTTATAATTATTTTTATTTGATTATTTTAGATATTAAGAATATATTGTTACATCAAAAGATACAGCATGTTCGATTCCATATTACAAGCCTTCAATTCATTGATTTTTCCTTTTCGATAAACCAATTCATTGAATCCAAAGTAAATTTTCAAAGTTAACCGGCTTACGTAAATTCATTTATGGAAATAATATTTTACCTTTGTTTAAAAATTCACGTGTGCTTGCCTACTGAGTAAATTTTAATTGTTTACGTTACCATTTAAGAAATCAATAACTGACTTAAAATTTTCATTTAACAAATAATTTTAAATCAAATTTTATTAAATGAAAAAATATCAAATTTCACTTATTAAATTAATTTTAACATTAAAAATTATAAATCTCTACTTTTATAAAAAAATTTATATTAAATATATTAAAATTAAAAATTTTTTATATTCTATAAAATAAATAACATCCAAATAATTTATGATGGGCAAAATACTTTATCCATTCATTTTCTAAGTACACTCAAAATTTAAAATTTAGACTCAAAAGTTTTATTCTTTACACCCAAAAAGTTATTCTTTGTATTTGTAATGATTTATGTCTTCTATTTTCAGAGAAAAGAAACTGTCCTTGATTTTTTAGTTAAATATTGATCAAATTTAAATATAAAGTATTGAAACCAAAGAAGTAAGTTGGAATGCTTTGGTTTTCCAAACGTTTTTACATGTGGATATTCAAAAGTATTTTAAATTGTTGCTTTTATTTTACTCTTAAATTATTTGTTAAAAATATTTGTGGAATCATGCATCAAGTATCATAGTGTAAAAATATGGTAAGTTATTTTGTTTTTATAATTTGTTTTGTGTGAGTTACCTACTGCCCATGAGAACTATGTAATAATAATAATAATAATAATAATAATAAATATAATAATAATTAATAATAATAATAATAATTAATGATAATTAAAATATGATACAGTATACGATACGAAAATGATATAATAATAAATACAAAAAGACGATTATGTAAAATTTTTAATAAAAATTATAACATGAATTTAACAAAAATAAAAAAATGTATTTAGTTGGTGAGGCTTAATAAAGTTAAATTCAATGAAATGGGTGTTCAGACTAGCATATTGATCCATTAATAATTATTAGGATAGCAATAATTTGATTAATAGAAAGTTTTAATTAGTGAGTTTGATAAATTAAATTCAATGGATATTACTTCGAGTGTGATAAATCAAATTTTGGTGACATGACGAGAAACAAAGGAATCAAACTTGTGATGAAAAAATAAAATAATTTGTGAGGTAATGATTAAAATATAAAAAAAAATTATTTTGATTAGTTCATGTCATCACTCTTAATAATAATACCTAATAAGTATATGCTCGAATTTTAATATTTACAATTTTTTTTTATTCTCAAGTTATTGTTTTTTTATAATATATATATATATATAAAAGAAAGTTTCAACTTTGTAGTGGATTAACATCTTTTTTTTGCATCTCAAATATATATTTTTTGAAATAACTTAATTCTTTTTTTTTTTCTATAACCATTTCAATACTAATTAGGATTGTCTTGATAAATTGTAACAAAAAACGGGGCTTGATGTATTAAATGAATTGCATAAAAATTGAAATTTAAGTAAAATTTGACAATTTGAGTTCATAAGCTTGGATATGTAAATTAATTATATCTTTTTTTAAATTAAAATCAACAATACAATTCGTCCGATAATAAATTCAATCCAAATTATGAAGTTACAACACAATCAAACCCTAACAAACAAAATATTAAATTAAATTGTACTAGTCTCTACGGTTTCTTACCCTTTATATGACGAGCTGAACTAGCTGTTTTGTTTTATAAATTTTTTCCTAAAATGAAGAGAAAGAAAGAGAAACCAGATTTTTTTACTGGTCAGAATAAAATTAATATCCTTAAGTTACATCCCTTTGAATTCGATACGTAATGCTTGACAAGAAAACGAAAAGAGGCATCGCTTTCAAATTTGTACTGAGTGCAACAAAAATGAATTATTGTGCAAGTTGCAATGGAAGTTGTAATAAACTAAAGTACGTGTCTCTCACATGGGTTAGAAATGATACCGGCCACACATCAAAAGGTTGTCCGTGTCCACGTTTACTTCGTTTTCAACATGTTTTTTTCCGATGTCCTCCTTAAACCTCTACATGGAAACGTTTTTCTTTTTAGAATGTTTTTATATATGCTTCGTAACTATTTCTTTCATTTTATTTTCTTTGTCAATCAGTTCTAGAATGTTCTAAAAAAGTTTTTTTTAATATTTAAATTTTTTATTTTTTATATTTAAAAATTATATTTTAAAACTTTTTTAATTTTTTAACGTTAAAAATTATAAATCTTTACTTTTATAAAAAATTTTATATTAAATATATTAAAATTAAAACATTTTTATATTCTATAAAAATAAATAACATCCAAATAATTTATGACGGGCAAAATACTTTATCCATTCATTTTCTAAGCACACTCAAAATTTAGTGTGTATTTTAATTTTTTTAATTGTAAAGCTAGGCTTAAAAAAATACTTTAAAAAACTTGATAAGAATTAAAATAGCTTGTCTTATTCTACACTATAGATTATAATTTATTTCCTAATTTTAATTTTTTACCAAAAATTAAGTGTGAAAAAGGTTGTCTAGTTTATGTTCTTTATATTCCTTCTTCAAGTTCAATTATCTATTAGAAGGATGTATTATGCCTATCAAATCTCTAATAAAAAAATAATTTTCAGAAAGCAAATGCCTTTGCTTTCTTGGTCTGCAAATCTTAAATAAATGTATTTATATTGTTATCTTATATGGGATAAACCAACTTAATTAAATTTCAAAAGTGATGAAAATAAATACTATAAATATAAATTATTAAAAAAAAGAATAATCTTTTAAGAGTGTAATACTACAATTGTCTGGTTAGAATGGAATTTGAAATATCACCTCGTTAGGAATTTTTGGGATGAAATATACTTTTGGTAAATAAATATTGATTAAAAGTTAGTCACAATTAAAAATTACGTAAAAATATTAATAAAATATTTTATATTTTTTAAATTTTATAAATAAAGCTTTATATTTTTACTACACCAAATTAAACAATGTTTTTTTTATTTACAATGCATGATTTTGTTGGAACGGGGTTTATTAGGTTTGACACAATGGGGGAATGCTTATTTGGGATAAAAACAATGACACAAATAGTTTCATTTTAAGCACTCCAATTTTTAATCCAATTTTTACAGAGTTTAATAAATCCGTAGCCAAAATCACTAATTAAATAAGTATTTGCCATTTTAAACTTGAAAGTTTTCTAGTAATTATATCAAATTAAAAATTAAATCTCACGATAATTTCAGTTAAAAAAAATAAGTATATGTGGGAAAACACTTACTTATAATTGATTGTAATCTTGTAATCTATATATTTATATTTGTATTTTTAGAATTAAATATTTGTATTCT